GCTCCCAGCACAAAGCAGGCGTGGGGGTGCATCATCAGATGCCTTCATGCTGGGGTGTGCTGGGAAGGACCTGACCTTCTCCCAGAGGCCAGCAGCCCCTATTCAGGTTTAAACCGCACATGTGGTTTTCTATTTGTGGTATCCTTTCACATCTAGTAAAGCGCTTAAGTTTTTGGAAAGAGCCTGCAATCCAGCCCCGCTGAGCCATGCTACAACAGGTTATTGTTCTGGCGTAGGTGAAGGACAGGACCTCTGCCTGGGAGCTTTCCAGGAGTTGTGCTGCTTAGCTGGAAGGAAGCAGAACTTCTCAGCACTGAATGTACCCACAGTGCTAATGCCCACTGCAGTGTTTCTGACAGCGTGCAGAGCATGAGGAATCCAGCTTCATGTGCCGGCACCGTGCGGAGCTGGCACTTCCAGTCCCTCCTGTCCCTTGCTGTAAGTAGGGTATGCCTGATGCAGGATGAAGGCCAGAAAACTAGCGTAGAAATGTTGGCAGGGTTGCCTTGCTGTCTGCCCTGGAAGCTTACTGTCTGTTGATAGAGAAAAATACAACCCATTGCTGTCATTTGACTGGTCTGTAACAGCCCAGGGACATTAGAAAGCAAAAGCTGAGATCTTTCAGATTTGCAGCTCTAGTTGTGGCTATTTGCTCCATGTCTGTGGTTACCACTGTGTTTTTGGCCCACCAGTGAGAAGTGTCACCTCTCTTATTTAGCGAGGATCCTGCTACAGCCCCACTACAGCCCCACAATCTGTCTGTATCCGTACAGAGCCACTTCCAGCTCATTCCCATACATTTGCCAAGGACAGCTTTTCCCCTAAGTAGCCTGAGCTGTGGTTTAGATGAAAGGAAATTTGCAGTTTAAAAGCATCCTTCCATTTCAGTGAGACTTTGGCTTTGCAGAGAATTAACACTATCATTTCCTACTCGGGTGGGACCAATTGGTATTTCCTTCTCTGGCCTCAAGCTTGGCAGCGTAACCCTCCAACATAGCAGCATTGCTGAGCTGCTGGGCAACCATCTCTCCACAACAATAAAACTGTATTTGGTGGCTCTCCTGGAATCTCGTGTTGAGGCTGTCGCAACAGCAGCAGCTGAAGTGGTTCTGTAAGGTCTGGTGGGCACAGCTGACCCATAAAGGAGCGCAGGCTCCGGAGCTCTGCTCTGCATGGGGCATGGGGATGCTGCTGTCTGCAGCCTTTGCAAAAGGCCAGATCCAGGAGGTGGCACATGGCAGCTCACAGAGCCTTTCACTGGCAGCAGGCGGGTTTCCATAGGGAATTTGCAAAGAGAAGCTCTCTTTGCCAACTGGGCAAACTGGGTTTAATTCAGCTCTCCCCCAAAAAAGTCTCCTGGAACTGAACACACCCCATGGAAAGTGCCCTCTGGCAGCTGCAGCAAATCCGAGGAAGGCTCTGCTTTTTTTCAGACTAGAAAAACAAATCTGATGTTGAAACTGTGGCTAAAATAGAAGCCTCCTTAGCGGAGAAAGGCCGTGGAAGGTTGCGGTGGGCAAAGGCTGCCCCTTCCAAATAGGTCTGAAACCAGTAACATTTTGAAACTACCAAAAATCCAGAACTGTATCTCAGCTATGGCTTTGCCTGTCACCAAAGTTTCTCCATCCAGTACTAATCCTGACTTTGCGGTTTGCTATCATGACATTAGTAAGTCAAATACCACCAGCGATGGAAATAGATATTCCCTCCAAGACGGGAGCTTCAGGAACGTCTTCCAGGAGGCAGAGGGGGGAGGGCTTCCCTGGCTGAATTTTACCAGAATTGTTACTGGCAGAAAAGTCTCAATTTTAAAGAAACATGGTTTTCTGGTCAGAAAATGCTCCCCTGGGCCATCTGTCCTCAGCTGTCTGGTTTTCATCACTCTTGTGACATTCCTAAGGCTTGGCAGTACCCAGGGCTGCTCTGGAGGCACTGAGCAGGATGCGACCCTGCTTTAAAAAGCTTCCACCTGAACAGCACATTCTGGCAAAGGAGCCCCCCAGATGGCAGGAGGAGGGACAGGAGGGGAAGCATTGCCAACTGCAAACTGCCTGCTCCTCCTGTAGACATGCTGGTACTCCCCAGGGCAGGCAGGCTGGCATGGGGCTGGGCTCTGCGGGTATCTGCTCTCTCCAGAGCCCCGGCTTCCACAACTGGCGTGGTTATTTTCGGTGTTTTCCCTCTTTGTCATTCAAACACTTGTTATTCTGAGCAGTTCGGTGGTGGGGCAGGCGTTGCGTTGCTCTGTGTCCGTGCTTCCCTAGGGAGCAAATGTTGAGCCCCCCATTTGTACTCTCCTTTGGGTTCCTCCTCACCCACCATGTGTCTGTGAACCCCTTGGCCTTTGCTGCTGCCCTGGCTGAGCCCCCTGGGAGCAGCCAGAAGGGAAGGAGGAGGGAAGTGGATGGTTGAGCCTTTCCTGTGTTTTGGCGAGTCCTGTTTTCCTGCAGCTGCATCATTTAAAATGTGTTCAGGGCTCTCCCAAACACCCAGCACCAGAAGCGCTGCCCTTGGAAGGTGGCCTGAAGGGCTGTAGCTATTTAGACAGACAAAGAAAAGAAGAACTGAAGCTCTTACCCTTCCTCCCGTCACTCTCCCTTTTGCTCTTTCCCCTGTCCCTGCCAGCTCGCCAGCACTGGGAACAGCACCACAAGAGGCACAGAGAAGCAAGCTGGTGTCTCAGACAAGTCATGCTGGGTGCCAGCTCTGGGCTCCTCTGGCGATCAGATAGCAGAGGAGCAGCTGCGATGAAGCCCTCCTCTCCTCAGCTTCAGGGAAGAATCTTTTGGGGGCAGGAGACAGGCTTTTGAGGATGAGTCTCCTATAAATAAAACTAAACCCAGTCTAGGGGTCAGTAAAACATCTTTGTACCTGCTAAAGCTTCCAGATTTGCACTTGTTCAGGCTAAAACTGGAATATGGACAGGAACCGTTTCCTCCTGGAAACTTGCCGCTGGTTCTGCCTGATGTGTCCCTGCCATGCAGTACCTACAGCGGCAGCCCTTGACCTGCTGCTTCCAGGAATCTCAAGCCTGATATGGACCTTGCTGCGGAACGGATGCGGCTGACATTTAGCAGGAGTGCTAGTTCTCGTCAGAACAGTGCCTGGGGAGATACAACCTGCGCTCAACCATCCAGCCGACGCAACCTGCTGTTTTGCAAGCTCGGTCAGCACCTCACTTGGTTGAAGAAATGCTCTTGGCTAATACCTGGTGATGTTTCCCAGAAATGGCATGGGCAGGAAAGATATTTTGCTTGGCATATGCTGGCCTCAGTGCAACCTCTCCAGGGTTTTCTGGGCAGAAGAAAAGAACTTGGATGAGTTTGGAGTTAAGCTGGGTTTAGCCACACCACAAAGTCCATGAGCAGTGAGTGAACGGCGTAGAGGAGGCTCAGCCTCCCCCTCCTGCCAGCCCCAGTTGCAGAGACCTCTCCAGGTAAAAGCTATGCTCCGTTTCTTGTGATGCAGCAGAATCAGAAATATCCCAGCTGCAGGAGGCATACTTCCAGGATCCCCTTTGTGCAAAGATGTCGAGGCAATTTACAGTCCCAAGTCTATTTGGGGCTACCACCTTTAGTGCATTAATTTTACATATGGGCAAAGTGAGTTGTTTTTCATCTCTCCCTCGGCCGCAGACTTGTTGGCAGATCTGGGAAGAGGAAGCTGTGCTGCTCCCCACTCCTCTCCCCCCCACCTCCACCCCCCAGCTGCATCTGGTTGCATTTGGAATTTCAAGTGAGCGCTAGAGCTTTCTCTCAGCGTGATCATGCATTTTTTTTTGTTTCAGCCGCTACTTCACCACTCTTCTAAAGAGAACTCAACCACTTCTTTCTAACCAAAGTGAAGTTCAGGATTTGCTAAGAGCAAAGCATTTGGTTTGCCCAAAATACAAACGGCCGTTTACATCAAGGGCTGTAATTCATGGGGAATGCTAAGAGGCTTCAACCCCCGGCCCTGACCGCTCTGTCCCACGCCGGTTTGGGTTGACTCATTGCAGTCCTTTGGCACAAGCAGCGGAGCGCCCAGCTCTCTGGGGCAGAGCCGGAGGGGCTGGGCCAGCGCCAGGCAGACACATCCCAAATCCCAGCGCCGGGCTTGCGGGGCAGAACCCCGGGGCCACTAGTGTCCTTGCAGCGCCCAGGGCCGGAGCATGAGGTCCCTGCCCGGAGCTCCCTGGAGGCTGAGGGACGGGGACGTGGCGTGGCTGAGCGCCCAGGCTACTCCACCTCTGCGGCTTTCAGCCTCCTTGCGCGGCTGGAACGAGCAGCACCGGCACCTCATTGCATCCCCCCCCC